TCCTTTTAAATGTATCTTTTCTGCATATATATATTTAGTTTACATAGATGGCTTCTGATTCATTTTTCACTCAGAGCCATAATAAATAAGACCCACCCACATAGTTATGTGTATGTTGAATCTTTGCTCCTAACTTACGTGTGGTATTCTAAAGTGAGCAGCCATATGATTTTACTGATCCACTACTCCAGAAGGGCTATTCAGATTGCCTTAGACTGGTGTTTCCAGTACCAATAACATCTCAGCTCACAATGTAGTGCTCTTAGGACTTAGGTAAGAGTATCTGGAGTATATTGAAGACTAGAATTCTTGGGTCATAATATAAGTGGATAGTGAATTTGACTAAGTAGTAACAGATTGTTCTCAAGAAAGATGAGCTGTCTATACTTCTACAAACAGTATTTGAAGGTTTGTATATTCCTACATCTTCCCTAACATGTACCATTATCCAGCTTTCTAATTTTACCAATACCATTGTTGGTTTGATTTTTTTTTTTCTGATTACCAGTGAATTTGGGCATCTCTTCTTATGCTTTGTTGACTAACACAATCCTTATCAAGATTTAAGCAGGATTTTTTGTCAGAAACTGACAAGCTGATCTTATTATTTGTATAACAAGGAAAAAAATAATAACAAATTTGAAAAAAGAACAAAGTGGGAAGACTTTCACTTTCTGATTTCAAGGCTTACTATTAATTAATTAATTAATTAATTTATAGCTGAGTCATCCTGCCACCTGTTGGCAGCTCAGCTCGGGCCAGGAATTGAACCGACAACCCTGTCGCTCAGAGCTTGCACTCTTGAGTGAGCTCTTAACCAACTGAGCCACTAGGCTGGCCGAAAAATTAAAATTATTTGATAACACTTAAATAATTCCATGCTTGCTGCCTTGCACTATACATTCTGTGGGTTTTATTCTTATAGTTAACAATATATAGCCATGGCTGATCATGACTTCACATAAATTGATATCTTGGGCTTGAGTATTAAATCCTACTGAGGTCGTTTACCTTTGCCCAGGGCCAGTTACGGACAAGCCCAGAATGAAGACAGAGTCTCAAGGTGTGTTAGGAAGCATCTGTTGTTCTTTCCTCTTTTTACCCAGAACTTAGAAAAAAGGAGGAAAAGGATATTATCTCCTTTATGGCCTGTATTAGTCTGCTAGGGCTGCTATAACAAAATCCAGAAATGTATTTTCTCACAGTTCTGGAGTCTGGACATTTAAGATCAAGGTGTTAGTTTCTCCTAGGGCCTCCTCCTTGGCTTGTAAATGGCCTTCTTCTCTCTGTGTCTTCACACGGTCTCTCCTCTGTGCATGCTCACCCCTGGTATCTCTTCCTCCTTTTACAAGGACACCAGTAATATTGTGTTAGGGCCCACCCAATTCCCTCATTTAACTTTAATTACCTCTTTAAAGGCCTACCTCTAAATATAGCCATACTGAAGGTTAGGGCTTCAATATATGAATTTTGTTTTTGTTTTTTAAGATTAAACTCTCTTTTTTAAAAAAAGATTTTATTGGGGAATTGGGGGAGGGGAACAGTGCTGGGGAATCGGAGGAAGGGGAACAGACAAGTTGCTGTCCTTTTGCTCTTCAGTCTAGTTGTGGAAGACGTCGTTTCACTGGCCCATGTTGGTATTAGCATTGTGCTCTTCCCAGGTGAGGCAGATCTCTGGATGGCCGCTCACAGCGGCTCTTGGCAGCTCACACTGGCTGCCAGCCACGCACAGTAGCTTATGGCAGCCCACTGCAGCAGGGGCTGCAGCCTACGCTGTCGCTGGTGACTCACAGCAGCCCAGCTCCAGGTCAAGCTGTTGTTCACCATCTTAGCTGTAAAGGGCAGTGTCACTGGTCCTCATGTGGGATCTGAACCTGGACCCTGCTGCTCAGAGCTGGTGTCCCAAGCCAGCTCTTAATCAACGTGCCTCTCGGCTGGCCCATGAAATTTTTTTGAGGGACACAATCCAGTCCATAATATGGCCCTTGGCTCATTTAGTGTTTGTCAATCCCTGTCTTCCATAGGAGCAGGGCAGGCCAGAACAGCCTCTGGCTTTCTGAATAGATGAGTAGAGAACAGACAAGCCAGCAATGAGGCTGTTTCTTGCTCAAATTTTTACCCACTCAATTGGGTACGTGCTGGAGCCTAGACAAGCAGCGCCAGCTGTTGTGTACCTCCTTTGTCCTCCAGGACCCTCCATACTCCATCCTACTTTCTGAGCCTCAGCTATAGACAGATCGCTTTTACTTTATTAAAATTAACATTTTTTCCTGGACATTATCTCTAGCTCCCAACTTTTTTTTTCCTTTTTATTTTTCTTCCTTTTTTTTTTTTTCCAGTTCCCAAATTTTAATCTATAGCTTTGTTTAGTGCCCTTCTCTCTGTCATCTTAGGTTATTTACAGGCCAACTTAATTTACATATACTCGTAAGTCTCAAACTTTACAATTTTTATGTGACAACTCATGTTCATAAATCATATTTTCAAAGTAGCTCTGAACTTGAAATTGGGCCATTATAAGTAATGTGGACAGTAGAAGGAAGGTCTTCTAATTAGTTAGGATTCTCCCTCAAACCCTCTTTTCCTCTCCAGCCCTGCCCTCTTTTTTTCTCTGTCATATAAGGAGCAACATAATCATTGTGTATGGGATTAAACTGCTACCTGGCAAAAGTAGGAAGAATTCAGCTTCATACATAGTTCAGGGTAAGGTAGCAGTTTGTTGATTTATGTATGTATGTATGTATTTATTTATTTATGAATGACTCACTGTGAAGCGCTCTGTAGAAGCAGTGCTGGTTAGTTAGTGGAATGTCCGTGGATGTCTAATTTGATCACGCTGGGTTCTAATATTGGTTCTAAGAAGTTAAAAAATTAGGAGTCACACAGCTCCTGACTGGTAGGGTTCAGGGGCAGCGCGGGATGTGCCAGGGTGAATCCTAACCTCATAGACCCTGAGTGGCAGAGTCCAGGGATTGCACTAGGACGTGCTAGGGTGAATCCCAAGAGAGAGCTTGCAGTCACTGCGGGGCTTCCAAGGCTTAAAGAAAGGCCTCTGTTTACCTTTCAAATGGAAAGTCTGATGTTTTCACTAAGAATATTAATGCATAATTGGATGGCCAGTCTTGGCCTCTCTGCGTTGAAGTACGGCCAGTTCTCTCTGGGAAATATAGCCTTTCCTCTGGCTGGTCTCAGGCCAAACTGACATTAGAAGGGTTCTATTACTGGAGTGAAAGGGGAGAACAGATATTGGAGACTTACCATATTTGTTATAGTGGGTGTGACATTTCCCTGAAGGAAAAGGATATTCCTCAGTATCGCTTATCCTGAGAAGAGATGGGTGAGTTCTGTGATCAGAAATGAGGATTCAGAAGAAGGCCTTAACCTTGGGTGAGAAAGACACTTTCTCTTCTCTCTGCGGGGAGGGAATGAAGACAGCACTCTAACTGTGGGCAGGTAAGCTGGACTTTTAGGAGTTTGGCAAATAGCTGTAGCAGGGAGGGGATTGAATGCCCATAAAATATACTTGGGGTTCTTCAGGGAACACATATATAGCAGGAGTTGAAGTTATTCTTTGTGCGAAGTTATTTTTTGTGAAGTGATTCTCTTACCTGTTGTACAAAGAATTCCAGGAATATAATTTAAAGTTGTACTCTAGCATCACTGTAGGACATGGTGGAAAAAATCTGCCTTCCTTAGGGTGACACCAGTAGATGAAGGAAAGATGGTCTTTAAATTGATGGAGGTGATATGTGGCAGAGAGGAATATGCTAAAACATTAGAATAAGGGTCTGTGCCATTACAATTTGGGCAGTAAAAGGAAGTGTGACTTGAAATATAAGGAAGGTGGATTCTGGGATATAATATAATGTTTACATTTCCATTTTATGATTGAATAGATAGATGCTCATATATGGATGAGTGATATGTTCAAGGCCACACAGCCAAAAAGTGCCAGAACCGGAATGCTAGCACAGGAACATCAGACCTGAATTTCTATACTTAATTCTATACCACAGCCCTCAGAAATATGGCTGTCTTCTCTAGATTAGTATCCCCTTTGCCTAATAATCCTGTAGCTACTGGTGCCCTCAGAATTCTCCAACCTGGGCTGTCCAAGATGGTAGCCACTAGCTACACGGGGCTATTGAACACTTGAAAAGTGGTTGATATGAATTGAAATGTTTTGTAATGGTAACATATACATGAGATTTCTAAGTCTTAGTGCAAAAAAAGAATGCAAAATGTCTCAAATAATTTTTAAATTGATTACATGTGGAAATGATGACGTCTTGGATTTATCACATTAAATAAAATGTATTAGTAAAATTCATTTCACCTATTTCTTTTTACTTTTTAAAATGTAGCTACTAGAAAATTCAGAGCTACCTACGTGGTTGACATTTGCAGTCTGCATTCTGTACCTGTTGGAAGCACCGCTTCACTACACCTTTTCTCTGACTCCCTCCTCCCTTCCCCATCCCCCCATGTTTTTATCTTAAATGGTTCCATGAATCAAGTTACGTTCTTCTGTGGAGAAAGTAGACTTGGTCCACCCATATTCTATTTTGCATATGGGCCTTTCCCCCCAAATCTATGAAAAAAGAAAATGTCTCCTGATATTTTCCTTCCTGTTGCTCCAAGAAAAGAATACCATAGGAGAACCATAAATCCTTGTTACAGAGGCCTAATCTGGGTCATCCATGGGCCAAGTTCAATGCTGTAGTCACCACTCCTGGTGCTTGCTCTCTCTCCCAGGCATGTAAACTAAAATTCCTTCCCTCTCCAGCTCTTTCTCCTCTGTGAGGCTTCTGTGAGAATAACATTACGACGTAAACTGTAGGTGCTTAAACACTATTTATTGAATGACTCACGACAGAGGAAACAGCTCTATGTCTCATTTAATAGATAGCAAAGATAGAGAGGAACTTGGTTTTTTAAGGGGAGGAACAACATTCCTGCTCATCTGTTTCCTCCAGCTCCGCTTGTGGTGTCAGCAGTGTCTATGGTGGTGGTGCTGGTGGTGGGGAGTCAGTGGCGGAATCTCTGGCTTTTTTGGAGTCACTCTTGTTAGAAGTAGCAGGGTATGTAATCTTTCCTGAGACCATGGGGTTGGTGGTGGCAGATTTCACAGCGTTGGCATTTGAGATGATGGTGTTGATTTTAGCAAGAGGGCTTTTGATTTTGGGGGGAAGATATACAATAGGATATTTTGTTTGTCTCACAGCCCTAAAATTCTCAGTAGACTTTAGTAGTTCTTGGGACTTCTTGTCAAATATATTGAACATTTCATTTTGCAAATAGTCTTCTATCAATTGAACCGTTTTTGGTCCAGCACAACATTTTTTCTTCTTGCATTTCTGTACCTCTTTTTCACCCACGGTGCAATGGTCTTTGCATCTCCCTAAACCCATTAAACATTTTCTCAAGCCAATGAATTCTGCACAAAGAAAAGAGAAAAACACTGGGGTAAGGTTAATAACTAGATATGATCTTAAAACTGCTGAAGGGAGAGGAATCGAGTAAGAGGGAGTTTGTTAGTGCTAAATTTTAAGTACAGGGCTTAGGGATGTTGATGGAGGCAGCTGGCAGGCCAAGAGAGTCTCTGTTACTCCTATGAAATCCAAAATAACCACCCTGTCTCCCCTCATTGAGTCACTTTAAAAATCTAGAGAGGAAAGGAGAAAAGGGAACCCAATTATTTGCTTTCAGATAGGATTTTCTACCTCCAATTTAGCATCTTAGACAATTGTAGGGCATCACCATCTCACCCCATAATCTTAGGAAATACCAACAGGAATAAAGTCTATAAAATCTGCCATAAAACAAATCCAAGAAAGAATTTCAAAAGAGAATCAATAGGACTTTCAGGAGTGCTGGCTTCTTGCCAAACCCAGTGTTCCATGACCTCGCCCTCCTCGATAATCGCTTGACCTGTGGTTCCTGAGGCATGGTGTTCTATTGTTTTCAGCCTCTCTGGACGCTCTGTCCCTCAGAGGTCTTATTCATTATCTTAGCCTTAACCTCATCTCCATCAAGATAATTCTCACATTGTTATCTATTGCTCTAAATTGCCTGCTCAGTTTAGTACCTCATCTTCCTCAGGCTTGATGACTTTTCCATCCCAATGTCTCTCATCTTTTTTTTTTTTCCAAATCAAGAAAGTTCTCCCTCACTCGTCTTAACAATTCAACTGATTTTCCATAAATATCAAGAGATGTATGCAGCATCTAATGTTCACATCCATTTCAACATTGTTTCTCACTAAAGACCAAACAGTAAAATTCTTATATTTCAAGCAGCTACACTGATTAACCCTGTAACACTCAGGTGGAATTTGCCGCCCCAGGTGGCTGAGTGGCTTTACCCAAGATGACCCAGTCATATTTGCTTATATTTCTACCCTTCTCTTCAGGCCTCAAGATAAAAACACTAGAAACATCTTTGACTCTTTCACTTTCCCTTCCCTGGCATATTGCCAATTATTCCAAATAGCTGAATGATTCTTGTACTCTGAAATAAGTCTCAATGCTTCTCTCTTCTTTTCAAGAAATGATGGCCAGCCCTCTGGGTTAGCCTTTGCCACCATGTATTCCTAGATGCTCTTATGGGTAATTTTGTGGTTTGCAAGACAAGGGTGAGAGAAGGGATGAAACTCTATAAAAATCGGAAAAAGTTGAGATGGAAGACGTAAACCTGTTTACTGGATCCTAAAAAAAAAGTATATATATATATATATTTTGAGCATGAGAGTAAGAACTTTCTCTTTTTACACGAAAGCACAAACTTATAGGAACCTTTGCTTCAAGAGATGGTTTACATTAGAAATAGAACAAAAATGAGGGAGACTTGGGCTGAGTCCCAGCTGATAGCTACGTAAAGGGTAGGAAGGCAGTTTTACATGTTGGAAGTTTCTGAGCACACAAAAAACACCCTGCTTTTGCTGTAGTTAGCTCCTGGTGTGTCCCCACCAGTCACAGTCTGGGGTTAGGGCCTGTGCGTGGGGGATAGCACATGATTGATGCAATAGGTAGACTCTTCAGCCATCTCTTTGGGTAACTCATCTTCCAGCATCTATGTAAGTTCGCTTTGTTTGGACAGCCAAGTCCCTGCTTCCTCACACTGACCCCACTTAAACCCAGGACTCCACATTACCTGTGTTCACCTGGTGCTGTAGCATGAGGCTGGCAAAGATAGGAAAAAGGAGCTTCATGGCTGGGTGCCAGAGAGGAAGGCTTGGATCTGGTTGGCATTCTTGTGCTCCGGCCTTTATTGGGCTCTTCATGGCCTTAGGCCATGATCAATGAAGTGCATCCAAAACTCACAGCAGCTGTGTTTCCTCTGAACCTGTTTGAGAACAATCTTCCCCAAACATTTTTGGGCAACACATTTCCTGTTCTTGACTCTGGAGGAAATACAAGACATATAAGATACAAAAGACGTGCAGGCCCTTTGCATCTCTCCTTAAAGTTTGAGCCAGGCAAGAGTAATGCATTGCTTCACTGTCAGCTATTATGCCTAAGACACTCAATGTATGAGGATCAGAAGAGCAGAAATTGCTATAATCATGGACCCCTGGAAGATAAAGGCTGTTTATTTTTGTACCGATGTTTCCAATGGCCAGTATGGGTACTGGGTCAACATAAGAACTCAGTACATGTTTGTTGAATGAGCCTGTGGGAGGCATCTCTTGGCATAACTTTAACTTCTTTTTTATTGAGATATAATTGACACGTAACATTATATTAGTTTCAAGTGCACAAAATAATGATTCGGTATTCGTATATATTGTGAAATGATTACAATGTCTAGATAACATCCATCACCACAAATAGTTATAATTGTTTTCCTTGAGAACTTTTAAGATTTACTGTCTTAGTAACTTTAAAATATACAATACAATATAATTAACTATAGTCACCCGGCAGTACATTATATCCTCAGGACTTATGTTATAACTGGACGTTTGTAACTTTTGACCACCTTCAGCCATTTTGCCCCCCACCTCTGACAACCAATCTGTTCTCTGTATTTTCTGTATTTATGAGGTTTTGTTTTGTTTTTAGCTTCCACATATAAGTGAGATCATATGGTATTTGTATTTCTCTGTCTGACTTACGTCATTTAGCATAATACTCTTAAGGTCCATCCATGTTGTTGCAAATGGCACATTTTTTTTATAGCCAAATAATATTTTATTATATATATATCACATTTTCTTTATCCATTCATCCATCAATGGACACTTAGGTTGCTCTGATATTTGGCTATGGTAGATAATGGTGCAAAGAACATGGGAGTGCATATATCTTTTTGAGATTGTGTTTTTGTTTCCTTCAGAAAAATACCCGTAAGTGGAATTTCTGGATTGGGTGGTGGTAGTTTTATTTGCAATATTTTGAGGAAACTTCATACAGTTTTCCAATGTGGCTGCACCAATAGCATTTCCACCAACAGTGCACAAGTGTTCCCTTTTCTTCACATTCTCACCAACACTTGTTATTTCTTGTCTTTTTGATTATAGTTATTTTAACAGGTAAAAGGTGATATTTTATCATATTTTTGATTTGCATTTCCCTGATTAGTGATGTTGAACATCTTTTTATGTACCTCTTGGCCATCTGTATGTCTTCTTTGGAAAAATGTCTCTTTAGATCTTGTGTCCATTTTTAAAGCAGATTTTTTTTTTTGCTATTGAGTTCTTTATATATTTTGGATATTAATCTTTTATCAGATATATGATTTGCAAATATTTTCTCCCATTTGGTTGGTTGCATTTTTATTTTCTTGATGGTTTCCTTTGCTGTGTAGAAGTTTTTTAAGTTTGATGTAGTCACATTTATTTATTTTTGGTGCCTTTGCTTTTGGTGTCAAATCCAAACAATCATTGTCAAGACTGATGTCAAGGAGCTTACCAGCTTTTTTCTTCTAGGAGTTTTATGGTTTCAGGTCTTATGTTTAAGTATTTCATCCTTTTTGAGTTAATTTGTATGTACAGTGTAAGATAGTGGTTCAGTTTAATTCTTTTGCATGTAGCTGTTCAGTTTTCCCAACACTATTTATTAGAGACTGTCCTTTGCCCATTGTATTCTTGGCTCTTTTGTCTTAAATTAATTGACCGTATATACATTGGTTTATTTCTGAGCTCTCTATTCTGTTTTATTAATCTATGTCTGTTTTTATGCCCATACCATGCTGTTTTATTTATGATGGCTTTGTAATATAGTTTGAAATCAGGAGGCATCATGCCTCCAGCTTCGTTCTTTCTCAGGATTGCTTTGGCTGTTCAGGATCTTTCTTTTGTGGTTCCATACAAGTTTTAGGATTGTTTTTTTCTATTCCTGTGAAAAATGCCATTGGAATTTTGATAGGGATTGCATTGAATCTGTAGATTGCTCTGGGTAGTACAGACATTTTAACAATATCAATTCTTCCAATCTGTTAGTGTGGCATATCTTTCTATTTATTTGTGTTTTCTTCAATTTCTTTCATCAGCATCTTATAGTTTTCAGTATAGGTTGTGAATGTATAGGTCACCTCTTTGGTTAAATTTATTCCTGGATATTTTATTCTTTTTCATGCAATTTAAAGTGGGGTTGTTTTTTTAATTTCTCTTTCTGATAGTTCATTATTAGTGTATAGTGGTATACACTATACACTAGTGATCAGGGTTAAGGTCTCCTTGCAGTGCGATATGTGGATCCAGGTAGAAAGGCTATTTGTATATGATGGTGGCCTCTACAAGTGAGAGTCTGGCAATGCCTTTCTGCGAGTAGCTAATGTGAACCTAAATCCCTGTGCTACTGCACATCATAATAGTCCTTGTTAGGGTAGATCAGCAGAGACTCTTGTACTAGGTAATAGAATGGCATAATGCAGTCTTCAGGAACATAATGTTTTATGATAATCTACCACCACATCAGGGAGCACATGAATGTCCTAGAGCGCCCTCTAGAGGAGTCACAGGATGCTTTACAGCTCTACCTTGTTTCTTGTAGGATGAATCCCAGTATTCTCTTTACTGTAGGTCTTATTTTCCTAAGTGCTATGGGCAGTGTGCTTCGCCTTCACTTTCCTAGTTGTATACTTCTAGATCAGTTTAGCTTAATTTTTATATAAAATTACATAGTACGTTGCAATTTAAAAATAATATAGATGATATATAAAACGATATTTAAAAAGAAACACTTTCATTTTTGGAGTACACGATTAGTGGCAAGGAGGCCAGGGAAGAGAGGTCTGCAAGAACAGGCAGGGGATAATGAAGGATGAATCAGAGAGGAGAAAATGGAAGTGGAGAGTGGGTCCTGTGTGTGGAGAGTTTGGGGTGGCCAGGAGAGAGAAAAGCTGAGAATGAAACTGCTAGGTATCTCGTTTAGTTGCCAGTGTATGTGGTGGGGACACAGCTCTCCCCACCCTCAAATTATAATTTCTTTCTTTTTTTTTTTTTTTTTTAAGATTTTTATTGGGGAATTGGGGGATAGGAACAGCGCTGGGGAATTAGGGGAAGGGGAACAGATAAGTTGCTGTCCTTTTGTTCTTCAGTTTAGTTGTGGACGTTGCTTCACTGGCCCAAGTTGGCACCATCATCGCGCTCTTCCCAGGCGAGGCAGATCAGTTGCCGGCTTCTGGACAGCCGCTCACTGCGGCTGCTGGCCACTCATGCTGGCTGCTGGCTACACACGGTAACCCATGGCAACCCACTGCCACAGGGAGTGCAGCCTATGCAGTCACCGGTGACTCATGGCAGCCCAGCTCCAGGTTGAGCTGTTGTTCAGCATCTTAGCTGTAGAGGGCGGTGTCACTGGCTCTCATATGTAGGATCTGAACCGAGGCTCTCTGGTGTCCCAAGCCAGCTCTTAACCAATGCGCCACTCGGCCGGCCCTCAAATGATCATTTCTGATGCTCTTTCTTCTTTTGGGAGGAGCTATCTTTTCATCTGATATCATTTCACCTTTATCCTAAAGAGCTTCCTTTAACATTTATTGTAGCATAGGTCTGTTGGTGATGGGTGTTCTTATTTTTCTTTTATCTGAGAATATATTTATTTTAGTTTCATTCTTGAATGATATTTTTACTGCATATAGAATTCTGAGTTGACGCTTATTTTTTCTTTTGGCATTAAACAAATTTTTAAATTAAATTTGTTGGGGTGACATTGGTTAGTAAAATTATATAAGTTTCAAGTGTACAGTTCTATAATACATCATCTATGTATTGCATTGTGTATTCTGTTCACCACCCAAAGTCAGTTCTCATTCCATCACCATGTATTTGATCCCCTTTTCCCTTTCCTACCACCTCTCCTCCTCCTTTACCCTCTGGTGACCACTAAACTGTTGTCTGTGTCCATGAGTTTTTGTTTCTTTTGACACTTTAAATATGCTGTTCCACTTTCTCTGGTTCCCAAGGTTTCTGAATAAAAGTTAGGTATTAATCAGTTTGTTATCCCCTGTTTGAAATATATAATTTCTTTGCTCACTGTTTTTTTCTTTTTTTAAAAAAGATTTTATTGGGGAATTGGGTGAAGGGAACAGCATTGGGGAATTGGGGAAGGAGAACAGAGAAGTTGCTGTCCTTTTGTTCTTCAGTCTAGTTGTGAAGGACGTGGCTTCACTGGCCCATGTTGGTATTATCATTGTGCTTTTCCCGGGTGAGGCAGATCGGTTGCTGGCCACTGGATGACCACTTACGGTGGCTCACAGCAGCTCACAAAAGTTCATGCCCACTGCCGGCCAACCCCACTGCAGCCAGCCAACCCCACTGCAGCCATTGCCGGTGACTCACGGCAGTCCAGCTCCAGGTCAAACTGTTGTTTACCATCTTAGCTGTAGAGGGCGCAGCGTCACTGGCCTGCATGTGGGGTCCAAACCTGGGCCCTGCTGCTCAGAGCTGGCGTCCCAAGCCAACTCTTAATAAATGTGCCACTCGGCCGGCCTTCTTTGCTCACTGTTTTCAAGATTTTCTCTTTATTTGTGAATTACATTTCAACTATAATGTGCCTCAGTGTAATTTTCTTGGTGTTTATTCTACTGGTGTTTGATTAACATCATGTACCTGCAAATTTTTATCTTTTATCAAATTTAAGAAAATTTCAGCGATTATATCTTAAAATTTCCTTCTGCCTCATTCTTTTTCATTCCTACTTCTGGCATTTCAATTACATATATGCTTCACTATTTGGTATAACCTAACAGGTCTATCAGCTCATT